GCAGGTCCCTTCCAACCATCTCTTTTCTATGACTGTATTATAAACTTAGTGAGTACTTAGCAAATTATGTTTGTTCTTTAATATTGTTAGTATGTAGCATTAGAATTCAGTCACAAGGATGAAAACCTAATTCTGCTACAACATTTCCATTATGGATTTCTAACCTTGTCAGTTTTCAGTTGTAGCAATAATTCTTAACTTAACGGGCTGTAGTCCATAGAAGCTCTTCAGGATAATCAACAATAGTTCTACCACACAAACTGTGTTGTTACAAGTTCTTGAAACATCTAATAAAGCTAAGCCAAGCGAAGATGCAAAGTCCTGCGCCAACATTTTCACCAGTATAACAACTAGGTAATCATTTTTCTATGGAAGTTCTGACATGGATTTTCAATCAACACAAATTTTCATGTGTCTTGACCTGTTACAGTTACAAAGGAAAAATACCCCATCTATTTCATGTTAATGCAAATACTCCAATTGTATGTGTATTGTGTCTAAAGAAGATAACAAATACCTGCATAATATTGGTATGAGAAGGTCAATTTTTCTTCTTGCTTCATTACAGCGTCATTCAGTTGCCTTACACCAGCAATGGAATTCAAATAGCACCTTACGGGCGCAACATCCGCCTGGTGGCCAAGCTCATGGAGATGGAGCTGGTTGTCATGTGGAACAACGATGACTATCTCATGGTTAGTAAAATGATTTCATAAAGCAAAAGAGAGAACTCACTTGAAGCTTTCCTCAGCCTATTCCAGCAGCTACAATGTTTTGCTAATGGGATGTTGTTTAAAGTTGCGTTAGCCTTAATAGCGTGTGCCATAGACTTGTCATTTCTGCTGTACTTCCCCTGGACACCTTTTGGTTTCAAACACATGGTACTTCTACCAGCTCCCTTGTTTCTTTCCTTTTCTTTGAGTCTTTTCATGTTTTCCTTCCAAAGTCTGATATATTTTAGAGAGAGGGTACATTCTCTCAGCATCACCTGAGATGTTAATATCACAGAAGTCACAGAATTCTATATTGGGAGATGGTTATGTCACAAACTGTCTGGGAGATTTACCATTATGACAATCACACATATCATGGGAAATACTACTGCAATGGGCACACACTATATTCTATATATAGTCAGATTATTTTGTCTGATCTAAGGTTTACGTAATAATTCATTGATTGTAGCCAGTAGTAGTATTACCCCTTTACTCTCCAGAGCAATAGATAACTGAAAAACCTTCTTCTGAATACAGATTTTCTTCCTGTAACCTTCAATTTCTTAAGAGAACAAACCTGAAATTCATGCTCCATCAAAAAAAAAACAACAAACGAGCAAAGAAACAGTGTAATTTCCTTTTGTATTTTCTTCTGGGTCCTTAGAATATTATGCCCCCTCAGTTCTCTGTATATGTCTTAGAATCTTATTCTTTTATTGAATTAAAATACCCCACAACTATCACTATTTTCTTATGAGGAAAAGAAGTTACTGCTTACAAAACTTTTCCTCCAATTAAATCCTTAAAAGAGTTGGAAGGATCCTCGAACCGAATTTGTTTGAGAAATACAATGCTATATAGGTAATTTTACTTAGGGTGGTCCTTTTAAATGTTTTCTTTTATTTTAGGTTTTGACTGAAAAAAAATATATGGGGAAAACCTGTGGAATGTGTGGAAATTATGATGGTTACGAATTGAACGAGTTTGTGAATGAAGGTAAGATCGAGGGACAGGTCAGGTGGAAGTGTGGAGACACTGAATTGCTCAATAAACTGATCTCAGATCAGCACAGGCAGATGGAGTTTCCTATACACATCCCAAAAAGGAGTTCTAAAATGTACACAATGTATTTTGGGTTGTGATGAGTTTAACCCCATGTGTAGGGGAAAGTATAAGAATGGGGGACAAGGAGAAGAGGCACGAATTAGCAGCTGGCAAAAGATAAACCAGCTGGCAGAAAAACAGTAGCAACTCTTACCATGTAAGTTGGTAAGTGTAATAGATTAGGAAATATGTCAGAGAAATAATCAAGGAACATTTCAATTAAAAAAATAAACATTATTGAATAGACTCCTGGTAAAGAGCAAGAGAGGTAGTTGTTAACATCAGGAAGATCACTTAACAGGACCTTTTGCAGTCAAAGAGTAGAATCAGAGTTTTGCTACATCAGAGCAACAAGTAAAAAAATCTGTGAGCTTTTTCCTGACAAATTATAACTCTTCAATTTACAGGTAAAGTGCTGGATACGTATAAGTTTGCTGCATTACAAAAAATGGATGATCCATCAGAGATCTGCCTGTCTGAGGAGATACCAATTCCTACCGTTCCTCACCAAAAATACGTAAGAAAGATCTTATTGGATTTGTGCAGCATGATTCTTAACAGAGGTAGAAAGACAGATAAGAACCAAGGATGGAGAGCCAGTGGTTTCATAAAAAAACAAATTATGTGAAAATGGATAAAGTCAAAATTTGTATACCATGATATGAGAAACAAAAGGAGCTATTTGCATTAAAATACACTTTGAAAAATGCCCACAGGCATGCCTGAGGCTGGCTTTATACCACTTATAAACCTACTAGCATTTAGCTCACAGCTTCCAGAAATTTCATGCAACTCGTGACAGAAAACTCGTGGAAACCAGTGAAAATTTGAATTTTTTACTGAATAGCGAGAGACCTGACATTACTTTTAGTGGCTGGGAGGCTTAACCTTTTGAGGTTGATTCTCTCCCAGACTTTGTACTGCAGGAGGCAACATGCTAGGAGGTACAAACGTATCAAATGTTGGCTTAAAGGGGAATGAATGCCCCTGTTTTCACACAGGGGGCATTTGTCCTGGAACTGAATCTCCATGAGACAACATGCTCCGTACCTGTAATGTCCTCAGCCGTATTTAAGGGGATTGATGGTACTGAATTTCTCCTGCATTTAAAGTTAAATACATCTTATTAAACTGCAGGAGGGGGACAGGAAGCAAATAAGCCAAGAGGAAAATCAGAACTAACATCGATATTCTACTGTGGTTTTCACATGGGGGAAACTATAGGAACAATTTTCTTTGTCTTTTTATATTTAGGCCGTGATCTGCTCTCAGCTACTCAACTTGGTGTCACCAACCTGCAGTGTGCCAAAGGATGGGTTTGTCACCCGCTGCCAGCTCGACATGCAGGACTGCAGCGAGCCAGGACAAAACAACTGCACTTGCTCTACGCTGTCAGAGTATTCAAGGCAATGTGCTATGTCCCATCAAATGGTGTTCAACTGGAGAGCTGAAAACTTCTGCTGTAAGTTCAGAGGTTTTAGTCGTAGATACGCTTAACCTTGCTATATCTTACAGAGGGAGAACGCTGATGAATTGGAATTTAAACCCGCTGATAGAAGTCACTACCGTCTTGAATCAAACAAATTATTTTCTTAAGAGCACAACAGTGGTTTCTGGCGAAGCACTAAGAAGAGCACGGAAGCCTCAGAGGAGAAAGAGGAAGCATGAAACAGAGAAAGCTCCCTCCATGTCAATCTGAGACCAAAGGAGAAACATCCACCAAGTGAAAATCATTAAATTTCTCAGACTTCCAGCTGGAGGCTGTTCTCTCTTAGTATAGATTTTTCATTATTGCACTTAGCAAATTAGCCAGTGGAGAGAACTTTTAAAAGGCCTCTGAAATCCTTGATTTTTTTTTTTTTGCTAAAAAATTGCTATAAACCCTTTTGTTCACAGACTTTCAGTAGTCATTTTTGAGATGCTCAACCTTCTTAATTGCAACTACTGATTGGAAGTAAATAGGAACGAAATTTTGCATTACTCTCCAAGCTGTACATGATTAGACATACTATTTTTCAAGTCTCTGTTTTTTACCAAAGTTCTGATTCACTTTTTGCAGTCCTTTTGAATTCACCTGGAAGTTAGATCTATAGGCAGTGTTATGTAGCAGGGCTCATTGTTTTAGAAAAAAAACACGCTGTTCATAAAAGAAGTCAAAAGTTACTTAAATTGATGTTATTTCTAAACCAACTCTAGGTGATCCTGCTCTGGCAGGGAGGTTGAACTAGATGATCTTTTGAGGTCCCTTCCAATCCCTAATATTCTGTGATCAAAATACCAGAGATACAGCTCATGACAAAAAAAGAAGAGCTTTCAAAATGACCTTGCTTAATATGATATTGTCCTTCAGAAGCATATAATTTAATCGTATTTTAATTTGCCTTTTGCACGAATATATGGTCATGGATAGCAAATTCACAAAATAAGCTCCTTTGTTGGGAAAGTATTTCTCCTTAGTCCTTCATTCTTATTTCAGTTTCAAAAATCTTTAAGATTGGCTACCATTTCAATTTTAGCATAGGAATAGTGAAAGCCCAGTTGAATTATATTCCTGCAGTCATTTTTCCACTTGCCATTGCCTACCGTTTTTACTTAAGAGGCGTTGCATCATTTTACCTTCACTGTGTCTCCAGTGCCGTATTCTTCTGTTCTTCTCTTGATCTTCACATGTTGTTGCCACTCTTCATTTTTTTGTTTGGTATTTGACAGAAAAGCTGATGTTAGTCTTTCTTCATTCTTGCTGAAAATATTCCCAACTAAGTTCCATTATTATCCCTCACGCTTTAAAAATGCACTTCCTTCCAAAATTATTTTTCCCCTCCTTTTCTCCAAGGTTATTCATTTTACATAAATAGGTAAGCTATTTCGTTCTTTGCTTGGTCTGAGGTTGGATTTAATCCATCAAATTTGTCAATTCTTTGTGCATTTTATAGATTCAGATAAATATTAGTAAGGCACTGTGTGAATTTACAGAACTGTACAAGAATTCTTAGATTAAATAAATAAAAGCTAGAGTGAATATGACGGTAATGATGAATGCTCAGGTGATTAATTGAATATTGAGGCGCGATAAGAGAACGTTAATGCCAGAAACTACAAGTTCTTCTCCTAGGTGGTGGAAAAGGAGAGATTCTTCTATGCTCACACTTTAAAAACCTTAACGCTTCCACTGTTTGTTGCAGCTGTGGGAAAATGTTCTGCCAACCAAATCTACGAGGAATGTGGTTCTCCGTGTATTAAAACCTGTTCCAACCCGGAGTACAGCTGTTCCAGTCACTGTACCTATGGTTGCTTTTGCCCAGAAGGTATCATTTTGGTATTCTTCGTATCCTGAAGGGCCCATAAAAATGTTTTTGGCATATGTCCAGCCAAGTGGGATAGACTTTCAGGGCACTGTGCCAGTTCTCAGGTAATGTAATATAACTGGAGACTTCAACAGTCAGATCCTTTGTGACTATTTGCCATAAAGAGTTGTGGCAGCATTTTCCTTAAAAGTCCATGCTATGTGATGGAATAATTATATGCTGCCCGCTTAAAGTTCTGGATTATAATAATCACTGAGAAAGCTTAATTAATTTCCTATCCCAAACAGGTACGTAGCCTTTCAGGCTACCAGCAAGAGATAACATGCCTCGGAGATGTTCTGCAACACTGTGGGCATTTTGTAAAATCACTTTTAAATAGTTCAAGATGAACTTCCTATGAAAATTGTAATTATTACAAAAATTTGCATCATTTCTTGAAATTTCAGAACTGAAATATCTTTAAAGGTTGCTGCGGTGTGGGTATTTATATCAGTATTATCACCATTTTATAGCAGTCAAAAGTAATGTGTTGTGAGTTACATATTTAAAGCCAGACTTAATACTCTGGAAAAGAATATTAAGTCCCAACTTAATCAGAATGTCATAGAAAAAAAAAAAACAAAACACAAAAACATTGAAGCTTGCTGTTGTTACAAATTAAATTCAAATTTCAAATGAAGGAAATGGTCTGCACTTTGATACAACAAAGCAGCCAAATGACGTTACCATTTGTAAAGAGTCAGAGCAATTTCAATTAAAAGAAAACATCCTGCATATTATATCTCTAAGCAAGGGCAGCAGCAGTGCAAGAATAGCAAAACATTCAAGCTAGAATAGCTTTGGCGCTAAGTAAGGGTATGGAAAAATATTCATTTTTTTTACTCTTCTTTGGCAGGAACTGTTCTTGATGACATTTCAAAGAATCGAACGTGTGTTCACATTAGCCATTGTCCATGTACACTGAATGGGAAAATATATGCTCCGGGAGAGACGATGAAAGCAGCATGTAGGACCTGGTGAGTACCAACAGGTACATTCGTGAGAGGATGGAGAGTATCCTCACCCTGGAATTGGAAAATTGAGCCCAACTTTTCAGGGAGCAGCTGCAAATGCGTCAGATTATCGATGAGGCCACCGCTTTTGCAATCAAAGATGTACATGTCTTCCTGATTTATCTTTAGAAATACAAATGCTCCTTCAGAACACACAGAATAATAGCATTTTTATCTCCCCTGTGAAAGTGGAGGTAAAATTACTACAAAACAAATATCCATCACCACCATTTCAGTGCTGAAAACTAAATTTCTGTTTTTGCAACAGAAAATGATTAAGTAGGACAATATTTTTTAAATTTGGAATTTTTTCCCCCAAAAAGTGTAAATTTTTGTGTGTTACTTTTCTTGCTACCATAATTCTAATTAATAAGGTAGAGGATAAATAATGGAGTTTGATCTTGAACCAATGAACACACTTTTCATCATAAATCTATTCAGGAAAGTTTACTGGTAATCCATACAAGAGCTCAGCAACTTTAAATTAAGATGGACAAGTGATAGACAAAGAAAATCAAAGCATAGAATGCATTATGGGAAAAGTGGTACAAATTATATCTGTCATTGCTAGGAAGTAGCAAAGTTTTTAGAGCATAAAGAATAGAAATTGCAAAACAATGGAAAGGAAAGTTCAGAACGTATGTTACGCTGTGCTCACTAAGCAGATATGCGTCCTGATCAGCCACAGCAAAGCATCCAACAGGAGAATCGACTTCTCTGCTGGGAAATAGTGCCTTGGTATGCGAATAACCTTACACAGAATTTCTTGTTTTCCTCAGTGTGTGTATGATGGGTCAGTGGAACTGCAGAGACTTGCCCTGCCCAGGGAGGTGTTCGCTGGAAGGAGGCTCCTTTGTTACCACGTTCGATTCTAGATCATACAGGTTCCATGGGGTTTGCACTTACGTTCTTATGAAGGTAATTTCCTGCAGCCTAGAAACACACAGTGTCAATCGGGACATTTTAGCCTGTCTTTGGTTTCTTATTAGAAAACAAATTTGCTCTTTCTATGCTATATATTCATTCCACAAATCATTGTTCTGACACAGACTTCCCTTTTCACTATTTTTCTCCAGAGCTCCAGCCTGCCACACAATGGAACCCTAATGGCTGTATATGAAAAGTCTGGTTATTCTCCTTCTGAGACAACCCTTAGTGCTGTAATCTACTTATCTACAAAGGTAAGCATTCCCTCCGTGGGTTCTATCCACATTTCAGTAACCAGATTAGCAAAATAAATACTTAAAGACAGCGCTACTAGCCTGAACTTTAGATACCAAAGACACATTCCAGCTCATGCACACACAGTAAAGATCTCAGTTGCCACATAAGCTCAGGAAGTAAATTTTCAAAGTGAAAACTGAAAGCAGTATGGAATAACATGTGAGGAAAAACTTGAATGAATTTTTTTCCTCTTATATGGGTCATTGACAATAGTTGCTTAAGTTAAAAAATACATAAATACCATCACTACAGATAATTACTTCTGATTCCTCATTCTTTTCTTACAGGACAAAATTGTGATTTCTCAGAATGAACTCCTTACTGATGACGATGAACTTAAGCGGCTACCTTACAGATCAGGTAACGAAAAGGGAATGTATGTAAAAAACAGATTACAATAAATGTCTGTTTTACACAGTCAAGCATCTTCTCTCTCACAGTTGCCAATAGCAGAGGTTTTAGAGGCTTGTAGGCAGAATGCTAGAACACCTACAGAACACATTAAAATCATTATTTTGCAGAATCCTACACATCAAAATTCTCTGTTTCTAACTGTGCTTGGTTTTTTAGGTGACATCACTATCTTCAGACAGTCCTCAATGTACATTCAAATGTACACAACCTTCGGGCTGGAACTTGTAGTTCAAACGTCACCTGTGTTCCAGGCCTATGTGAAAGTTGGATCCCAATTCAAAGGCAGAACCCTGGGTAAGCAATCCAGTCCCCATGCGAAGGAGAAAACGTAGGGAGTATAATTTTGAAAGCTTGGTACTCATCCTTTATGGAATAAACTTTCTTTTCTGGGTTCAAAGAAAAAAAACAAGAATACCTGCATCGGAGTACTGACATGCCAAGAATTTGTTTTTCACTAATGATTTAAAATGAATCAAAGAAATCTGATGGGTGATGGTTTTCATCTGCAATATAACACATGTTTTCTGTGTGCCTTTTG